CGACGATAACGACGACAACCACAACAGTGTCCGGTAATGTGTGGTAGAGAATGGCAGTCAGCCAGACTGATTACAGTTGAACATGTATAATAATAATAACACATTTCGCGTAGTTGAGCACTAAATAAAGAAATTCAGTTTTTTTTCCCCACTTCTGTCTTGTGAGCATCATCAGCAAGGTGTAGTAGCTGCTGATACTGATTTGTCCTCGAGTGTCGAGCTGCACAGTTTCTTCCAGTCTGTCTTGTCCTCTGCATGGTCTTCATGGGCACACCCAGCTTATTCAACTGAGCGACCAGACTTGTGGCTAGTGTCAACCTTGGCCACCCACGAGGTGCTTTGTTGTCCTTGTCCAAATAGCCGCTCATGGCTACTTAGGGTGGCGTGTCCGTGTCCATCTGTAGCACATGACTGGTCATTCGTAGTCGCCTACACGCAGCGGTGTCATGTATTACTACAAGAACTCAACCAAGTCCTCAGCAGTCATGGAGTAGCGGCAGGTTGGGCAAGTTGGGCTGGAGGCAGAACTGATCCACTCCTTGATACAGTGGAAGTGAAATTCATGACCACACTCCAACTTGGATAGAGGACGGTTCAGGGTATCCTGACAAATCACACAAATGGGCTCATGACTTATTGCTGACGAGTCTACCTTAGTAGGCACTACATTGATGTACTGCAGCTCCATGGGGTGTATTGCCTGGTCTTGATGGTGGTCACCGTAATACACCCCGTTGAGGTACCACTGATAGATACCCTCCTCCTGAGAGATGAAAGCAGGCCCATCTTCCCTATGCCGAAGGTTGTATCGGTACCACTCCCGTACACGGTTGTTACCTTCCCTGCGTATCACGGCTGGCGCATTCTCCCTGTGGAGCCGGTCGTGATAATACCACTGGATGGTGATACCATCATCACTCCGAGTGATCCTGGCTGGTCCGTCTACTCTGTGTAGACGCCCTTGGACATACCAGGCTTCCAGCAAATAGGCGCCATCAAATCTCTCCGTCAGAGCAGGGCCGTCGCCGATCCTTTGTCTGACGCCATTCCAATACCACTCTTCGCGGTGTCGGTAGAACCCCTCAGAGTCTTCACCAAGGTCTGAAAATGTTTCCACTGCAGGGCCATCATACCTGTGGAGTCTTCCGTGGTGATACCACCGTAGAATACCGCATGTGGCGTCATAATAACTGACTGCAGGACCGCCGGCTCTATGACGGGCGCCGTTGAGGTAGTACTCTATGCTACCCCGTCCTATCCAAGCCGGTTCATTAACGCGATGAAGGCGACCTCCATAGCACCAGGCGGACACTCCCCTACTATCAACAAGAGCTGGTCCGTCCTCCCGATGGAGTCTACCATCGCCGTGCCAAATTTCTTGCTGCGCGTTTTGATCTGCCAACTCCACAACTGTTCTTATTGGCGTCCGCCTTTCTATTAGTAAAGGACCCGTGGTGAGAGACCACGACCGGTCGTCCAAGTCTACACCGAATGTATCAGCCATATCTATTTACTGAGAATAATGTAACAACTCCTCCACAAACGCTTCTACAACTGACGTCTTCTTCATCCTGGTTTTTTCCTCTTGGTGGTTTTGGATAAGAGTTGAAAAGTCCAAAAGGTCAACTGATGACCTTTGCGTTACTTGGTATGATTGGGTTTTAGCGGATGATGTCGGTATGCAGCTGGGGAGCGAATTTGACAGGAAGAAGGTAAAGGTCTTGCTTTGCGGTTCACACCTTCACTTCAGTATCATTATCCTGAAAACAGCCCAAATGAGGTTCACGTGTCACTGTGGCGTTCGCCTTACAGGGGTAGTACCCCTGTTTCAACACCTGAGGCGGTGCGTCAAGCGCCGCCTCTTTCTAATCATATATTGCGATAAATGGTAAGTGTGCAGTGCTCCTAGCTCTCTCCCCCAACAAAAGAGCTCTATGACACTGTGCTTTCTGCGGTTTCTTTCGTTTTTACAGTGGAGAAAGGCTGGTGGGAGGCCAGGCCGTGGCCGCACACCTGGCGGGTGCGGCCCATCGGGCCCGTTACTGGGAGGGCCGGCAAGTCGGGCTGCTGTTGCAGTCCGACTACCGGGACGCCATGGAGCGTATCCGGACCCTGTAAGTAAGCACTGCTCTGTCTACATGTATACTTACCCCCCTCGTTATAGCGATACTTACTTGTTTCGTATCCTCTTGTCTTACCCTGCTTCCGTATTCGTGACACTAATAGTGTTTGTGTGCGCTCATGCTTGGTTTTACAGATGACGTATGTATGAAGGTCTGGAGCTAGCTGCCGTCTTCGGGATGTGCCATTTGTTTTCAAAATTATTTGTAAGTACTTGTAACAGGCGTAGTGTAGTAACTGTGTATGCAGTGTAGTAACAGTGTGTGGTGTTTTGTGATGGTCCTGAGCGGTCGTAATGTGTTTTGTGATGGTCCTGAGCAGTCGTAACGTGTTGGGCTACTGAAGTACACTGCATGAAGGGGTATGTGTGGGTGCTTCGACATATTCTCGTGCTTCCTAAACCCTAGATACGTGTATAGCACTATAACCTAGATGTGTGTGTGTGTGCGTGTGTGCGTGTGTGTGTGTCCGCGCATGCGTGCGTGTGCGTGCATTGTGTTCTCTTCTACAGACTCATCCAAGTCCATTTAAATAAAAGTGTATTATAGTGAACAGTATTGTGTTTTGTTACAGTGAATATGTGGGGAATGGTGGATATGCCTTAGTGTGACTGGATACCCGCGGGTTGTGACTCTTTGCTGGTCACTCTGAATTCTCCAGTATAGATTCGATGCAGTGCAGAGGGGATTTGTGGTGCGTAGCAACACTGCTTCACTGTGACACCCCTTCAATAATTGTTTTGATGCATGATACTCCGGGCGTAGCCGGTTGATTCTAACTGTATCCCGATCAAAATAGAAATATGCATCTAATGCACCTGCATGGACAGTAGGCATTTCCCAAATCGGCTGGCCGACAAATTCGCCGAAAAAAGTGGTTTTGAAGAAATCACCCATCTTTTCGCCGAATTTTCAAATTTCGCATGTTGAATTCGCCGAAAATCGATGTTTCAGTGCTTCAACAGAGTGTGCTTGTGTGTAAATGTACATGACGTAATGGGACTTCAAGTACTACGTTGAGCCGAATTCTGATCTTGGGGCTCATAATATGGCCGATTTTGAACATTCTCTTAACCGATCGAAAAACCGATTAGGCATGCTCTGTATGGGCAACTTGTCAATCAGTGCACATCTACGATGTGCGAATAAAACGAATGCACGGAACGTGAACTTGTTTGCTGCACATCTACGAAGTGCGAATCAGGGAGTAGTATAATGACACGTGTACTAGTACACCTTGTGTTGCACTGCATCTTTTCCACACGCATAGGACCACTGAAGGTCACATGCTCCGCGTGCGTATGCGCGCATGCGCAATATGTCATTCGCTGCATGCAATGCACATCTATGATGTGCGAATCAGGGAGTAGTACGTATTTTACTACTCCCCGGTGCGAATGCACCGAACGTGCACAAGTGCACGGTCGCCACGGAAAAGAACATGATGACATTTATGACATGGCAGGGCCAAAGGTCAAACCCTAGGGGGTCCCGAGGCCAGACCAAGCGCGCCCGATACAGTGTGCCTTATTTAACCCAAAGGTCAAAGGTCAAACCCTGGGGGAAGTCCTGGGGCCAGACCAAGCACGACCGACACAGTGTGCCTTATTTGGCCCAAAGGTCAAAGGTCAAAAAGTGCACCAGAACCTGCCCCGCACTAACTACTCGCCACCCCGATTTGCAACCCAGTTGTTCCGTGTGTGAGTGCAACGCAATTGACTACGGTTTAGAGATAAACCCCCAGATAGCTAACGACATTTTAAGGCGGGCATTTTATTCTCGTGTTGGGTTAAGTTGGGCTACTGTTCGCAGCTGCTTCACCCCTCTATTCGCACTGGTCGAAATGTACCTGTACACATTCTCCTCGCATTTACGTATCACTCACATCTGCTCATCTCACGTCATATAATCATGGCATATTCCGCTCGAGTGGCCAGACCATTTCTTCAGTTGTATTTCAGATGTGTATTTTACCGAAGCCTGCTGGCTTCGAGGAGGAGGAGTGGAATGGTGTGACAGTTTTCACCTTTGTGTTAGTTCTCACCTTATACATGTTACTATCTCGCGCTATTGCGCGCGCATCTTCTATCATATAAACTCATTTGTTCATTGAAAGATCATTCTTCACTATCAGTTCATCAGTCTGTTACACATGGTGTTCGTTGTTTGTTTGTGTGGAAGCTTGCTTTGGGCCTACCGGTACAGGAAGTCGTGGAGGTAATTATTTCTCTCAAATCAGGTGAGTTGAGTGCTGGCAACTTTGCACCGAATCGAGAGAGGTTGGGTGAATGAGTGCACTCGTATAATTATCATGCCAATGCAGAGTGTACCGCAGGCACGGTAAGAGCGGGCTTGCAAGGGGTATTTTGTAGCATTCGTTTTTCACAAAGTAACGTTAGTTTTAGCTGCTAGCTACCAAGAGTACATACATGTACCCCCTGCCCAGTTATGTACTAGTGCCAGTAGTGGTGCTAGCTGGCTGCAGCAGGTTGTGTATCAGTGTTCTACACGGGCATATCCCTGGACATTTAATTGTTTTATTTCGAATAACCTAGCCCTGCTTTATTGCTCATTGTGTAGCATATAGTTTTCCTCACTGTTTATTTCTATTGCATGATTTGCATCAGGAGACCCCTTGACAGGCCATCGCCTCCAGGAGATCCTTTTTAAATATAATATAACACTAAATGCGAGGTATTGCTTGGGCTAGGCTCTTGGCACCGAGAAAGGGATATTGCTCTCCGCCAGGCAGATCGCTTGCCCCGGCTTCAGCACTGTAGACCAGACGCCCTTGGCTGTGTCTGAACCGCCAGACGCCCTTGGCTGTGCGCCCGTGACAAGCCTAAAATTCATTCACACACAAAAAGCAATCGGATGATATCTGTGGAATTATGAAGATGCTACAGTCAAACTTCCTACTGGGAAATGATGCAACAAGTCTACTGCCTACTGTAGAGCAAGCACAAGTCTATGTGTATGTATGTAATCAAACACTGAGCCATGCAAAACCAACTGCATACAATACTGATCACACACCGGCATGCTGGTTGTGAGAGGCCGCAATCAGCTACCTGCACATGGCACTGCACTAGTCAAAATAGCTACCAAAATAAGGTACATATGCTGTTGCATTTTTCAGTATTCTTTCATGCCGACTTGATTACTAACTAAAAATGAAAAATATAAAGTGCACACAATGCACAATGGGTGTGACTAGATTGACCTATTCTAAATAAGGAGGAAGAAAAAGATGAGTCGAAATGGATCATGTGATCGATGACAACACGAGAAGCAATTCACACCTCCTCAAGCTCCGTATCTGCCGGCTCCATTGCATTAGTCGGTGCGGGCTGGGGAGAGCCAAGCGGGGAAGGGAGGTAGGTAGGTGTAGGTCTCTCGTCTCCTTCAGCCAAAGCCGGGTAGTGCATTTCGAATGAAGCTTTTTGGTGGGATGAACTTTGTGTCAGGGAGAATGCCTTCCTGCCTACAGCTCCCTTCACACTGACAGCTACGGGTTGTTGTGGATCAAGTGGAGAAGCAGATGACTCGCTTAGCGACGATGGTGGGCCAGGCATGCTGGACATCTCCATGTCTCCGCTCTCCTGTGGTACCGGCGAGAGTGTGGTAGGTGAAGTAGCTCCTTCTCTCGGCTTCTTTCTCTTGGTCCTGCGCAGCCTTCGCAGGCTGAGACCGCGGTCGGGCACGTAGATAGGTCGGCTCTGGAAGTTCACGCTGCTCTGCAACTCCGCCGTGCTCGCATCCATGCTGCTGTGAGCCATCGAGACAGACTTGTCCAAGTGGCCAATGGCCGGCGCGCGGATATCTCTCTTGGGGCTGGTTACCATGGCCGATGGGGTCGATGCGGTGTGCTCAGCTGATGCAACATTCTCAATGACGCTAGGACCAGTTGCCTGGCCAGGGAAGAGCGGGAGCACATCGTCTTCATCATCCTCGACTTGGATGCCGAGTAGTGACTCCAGAATGTCCGGGAAGCGCAGGTATAGGATCCAGAGAAGAACCCCGCAGAACATGAGCACGATGCCGTTGACCAGTGTCAGGATGAAGCTCCAGCCATAGTTCAATGTCAGCATGCCACTCTCGAATGGGATGACAACGCTAGGGCCCAGCTCTCGGTGCAGTCCGGCGTATACACAGCATGAAATGATCAGAGTCAGCCCGGTCAGCATGAGCATATTAGCACCGTACGTCAACGCCCCCGGCAACATCAGCACCGTCAGGATGAAGAAGCAGAACGCAGTCCTGTTACCATGGAAACAAAAGAGTGCGTAGTGGAGATTATTCAATGTTGGTTGCAAAACAATGGGGAAACCAAATTTTTTTCCGCTTTGTGACGCGAGTGTGCATGCTTGTGATGATAGTGTTGCACATCTGAGGGGTCACACAAGGTTACCATTGCACATCTGCGGTGTCACACAAGGTTACCATTGCACATCTGAGGGGTCACACAAGGTTACCATTGCACAACTGAGGGGTCACACAAGGTTACCATTGCACATCTGAGGGGTCACACAAGGTTACCATTGCACATCTGCGGGGTCACACAAGGTTACCATTGCACATCTGCGGTGTCACACAAGGTTACCATTGCACATCTGAGGGGTCACACAAGGTTACCATTGCACAACTGAGGGGTCACACAAGGTTACCATTGCACATCTGAGGGGTCACACAAGGTTACCATTGCACATCTGCGGGGTCACACAAGGTTACCATTGCACATCTGCGGGGTCACACAAGGTTACCATTGCACATCTGAGGGGTCACACAAGGTTACCATTGCACATCTGAGGGGTCACACAAGGTTACCATTGCACATCTGAGGGGTCACACAAGGTTACCATTGCACATTTGAGGGGTCACACAAGGTTACCATTGCACATCTGAGGGGTCACACAAGGTTACCATTCTTTTCCCCAACTGGGGACGATTTCGTTTTGGGGTGGGGTGGGTGTGGGGTGGTTTGGTTAGAAAATGATCGTACATGTACTAGTGGAATGCATTGGGAAATGCCCAGGTGTTAACAGTTGCCGAAGAATGAACTCAAGAATTCTTCGCATTGCGTGTTGCCTGCAGAAAGGGTGGGTGAGTGGCTAGGGGTTGAAACATGCGAAATGTTTTGTTTACAAACCACACTTGGTAGCCATTGAACAGCTCCTAGCAGATACTGGCAAGATTACCTAACCGTCAAGAGTGTGCAACTACCTGCACACACTCTATCCAGTACTGCGACGGTAGAACTTCACATCATGTGGCATGGTGCAAAAGGCAACACTGACAAACAGTGCAACGTGATCACAAGAGAGAATCCCAAAGCAGGGTTGCGCACAGCCCTGTATCTATCATGCACAGGGTGTAAATAATGTGCACGGGTCCCTTGTCACGTGATGTGAAGTCCTACCTTCAACGCACACCCCATACTTGGAGTTGCACACTCTTGGGCCGGGTTATGTTCTCTTGATTCTGGTTGGTGCTTGTTGAACATGCTGTTTATCATGTCAATAGTTTATTAGGGAGGGTATTGAGTCAATATGCATGTAATGAGTTTGCCATCACAGGATTACAGTATCAATGCATTGCAGTAGTAATCATGGTAATGTCTACCTAGCTACTCAAACTGACCAGAGCAGCAGTGCTGTGTAGTAGCCAGCCTGCCGGTAATTGCGTCCCCAGCGGATCTGCTCGCCGTCCAGGGTGAAGTACTCGGCCACCCAGAGGATTGGCAGCGGTGTGCCTCGATACTGCGCTGTGCGGAACTCTTGATTTGCAACACCGGCTAATAGGTGCAACATACACACACACACACACACACACACACACACACACACATACACGCAGTGGCAAATTAGAATGGTGTGTAAGTCCAAATAACAAAACCCAGTATCCGTCTTGGTGACAATGCACTAGGGTGTCTAATGAATCCAGCTAGTTCCTGGTGTAAATATGTAGGAGTTGCCATGAACTGAATGTATGAGAAGATTAACACACACTCTACTGCATAAACTGTATGACCCTGCATGCAGGGGTTTTCATTCCATTCAAAATTGAAGTGAAATGAACGGAGACGTATGTAAAGAGACAGCCTGTTCTCCTCTGAAGTGCACGGGAAGTGCCGTGTCTTATCTGGTTGTGGTATTTGTGGGACTTCGACTGCATACTGGGGATCCGGCTGCCTACGGATGCCTAGGGCACACCATCCGACTGTTTACAGAATTTAGACTGCATACTGGACTCCCGACTGCCTATAGTGACCCGACTGCTTACTGAGTGCAACATGTACATGTATAGTGAAAACAAAGAGAGTGACAATTGTAATGAACCATGCAGATAGTGGTGCGTTATGGTTTGATCCAGCCTGTTGTTGTTGTTATTGTTGTTGTTGTTGTTGTTAGTACTGTACTAGACCATCATCTTGATGTATAATAGAATGCCCGGTCTTACCCTGTGATCCAAAGCCAAGTCGCCCTTGAAGGACTCCAAAGTTATAGTGCTCATTGTAATCCACAATGTCACCGCTTTGGTTGGTTGGGCTACCTGAACATGACAACCGCACAGTACAGCAGAGCGGGGTCAGGGTAGCCCTTAGCAACCGGGACACATCTCACGGCAAGGGACACATGCACATTGAGTACAGACTGTTGGTTCAACTGTCCACTATCGAGTTGCCATGGCAATCAATACTCCGAGGACACCTCTAACTAAATGCAGGAGAGAAATATCTAGGCCTTGTCCTAAATGCAGTGGTTCTGCAGCTGAAGTCTGCACATGTACATCATGAGACTGAATAATACTTCAGTGCTGAAGTCAGTGCAGGAAAAACCTCAGCCAGGGACTAGTGGATGAAATAGCACACTTGGTCACATCCAGTCACTACGAGTCTTCCTCTGAAGACGCCACTGCACACGGCATAGCTACATGTCATGCAGAGAGTGCCGTGACAATCCGGTGCACAGTTGCATGGTGTAACAATAGCGGGTCAGCATTGCTCACATGAAATGAAACAATGAAGCTTGCAATTACAGAGACAGGGTGCACAGTTGTCTGCTGAGTACCTATGGGCATGAAACTACTAGCTATCACTCACTATCACTAGCTATCACTCGCTATCACTAGCTACAATGAAGACAGTGTGTGCAGAAAAGATGCATGTAGAATTAGAATACATTTTTAGATACGAATTCTCTCCGATACCTTTCAGAGTTACGTTGAAGGAATAGAGGCCGACTTTCAATCCAACGTCTGCCGATATGACAGCCGTTGAGAACTGCTTGTAGGTGGCTTCGGTATGGACAGTTCCCACTCGCCAGCCGAATCCCCAGATAGACACTAGCGACAACATAAAATCAAATAGAATGAGAAGATTGCAACGGCATCACAATTCAACTGTGGATTTACACCATTCAACAGCCTGCAAGGCTGATAAATAGACTGCCACTCATCATTTCTTCCTCATTTTGACAAACTCACCAGTGACTTCGGCATACACTGGCTGTTGGAGCTGCACGGCCAGTCCCCCCCCCCCCCCCCCACACACACACGCAGACACTATGTACACACACACACACACACACACACACACACACACACACACACACACACACACACACACACACACACATGCGCATGCACGCACGAACACACACACACACACACACACACACACACACACACACACACACTGCATGTGTATTGAGTCTATTGACACTCTTACCGAGGATACAGGTGATGAAGTAGAAGAAGAATGTTGCTTTACCGATCTGTTGCAAGCACTGTACACGACAATGACAACAACAACAACAACAACAACAACAACAACAACAACAACAACAACAACAACAACAACAACAACAACAACAACAACAACAACAACAACAACAACAACAACAGCAGCAACAACAACAACAGAGAAATGCATGGGCTTTAGTCAATAATTTGTGTGTTTGTGTGTGTGCGTGCGCGCGTGCATGTTGACTTGACGATAGCCTTAATGCATCCTGCACGATAGTATCCCAGGCAAGATCACATTGCTATTGTATCCGTGTGCATTGGACCTTACACAAGTAGCAATGGTCCCAAAGACTGTGAACTAGCTCAGTGTTACTTTAATGAAAAGAGGGTTTTACAAGACTGCAGATGACCAGCCACATCACAATATCACCCAGCCCCTACAGACAGTGACCAGATTATGTCGTTGAGTGCAGCTGAGTTTATCTGGGTTGTGGGATGAGTACACACTGTCCCATGCTGTACAATGTCATGTGGTTGATAGCGGCTCAATACCCTACTTGCTCCTGCACACCATGCCATCAATGGCATCATGCATTTAGATTGTGGTATGTGTTATTCACCACAGTTCAAATTATTTACACGTAAGTGTTAGGTGTTGGCTACAAGGAAGTGAGGGAACACAGCAGGTTCGTGTGCAACGGCGTCGGAGCTACCTCGTCAGCAGTACAGTGTACATGCCCTGTTACATGAGTCTAAAACACTTCACGACCTTTTTAGACACACATCACAACCTTAGACACCCATGGCTAGTGCTACTCTGATATATTTACTCACAGCACTTGGAATGTAACGTGCGATGAAGACTGTCCTTCTATTTGCCAGTAAAGCCTACCCCAGCTGCCCAAATCCATAGTCGCACACTTGGGAGACATTCTGTGTGCATTCTCTCCTAAAACAGCTGTGAATGTTCCCCATTTAGCTCGGATACAGAGACTGACTTTAGCAAGAGGACAAAACCCCACTGATACATTGACCATGATGGACTGGTGATTACACTGCATCCCTGCGAGAGACCCACTGAGAGTACCCAACCTTACCTTGGGACTGGTGACTCAAGCCATGAACGCGAGGTCATTCAGCGGCGCTACTTCAAGTACCTGAACAACTACTAGATAAACGAATCCAATTTCCGCACCACTACTGCATTGCTCAAGCTGACCATTTTCGCATTGTAGCCCCCAGTTGACCATGCATTACCGGCCATCCGCATAGTATCACACCTCCGGCCTAGACGAACACCTAGTCGCATGCAGCTAGTGCGAAGCTTCTTTCCCCAATACTGGATCATCGGATGAGAATGGACTATGTCCGAGCCTTCTTCCTCGAACGCTGATTACCTCGCAGCGTAAGCGTAGTTGGTTCAGGCATACAGGTGTACCATTGTACGTACGTAGTAGAGATTTTTCATACAGAATTATCCAGTTACTCCGATCTAGCCTTGCGTCTGGCATTAACGACAAAGCAATTCAATTCCATTTTTTCTTTCGACGAACACACACACGGCCAAGAGGCCAACAACGAAGCATGCACGATTGTGCGACTACTAGTCTAAAGTGCATGTTCCTGAAGGCCTAGACAAACCTTGCTGCCTACAGCAACATTCATATCAATCGTGCCCGCAATGATTCCACTGCTCTGCATGTACCTTTCTCCAGTTGACGAAGAGAATGCCGATTGAAGCCAGGAGAACGCAGAACCAGGTCATGACGAATGCCGTGATCAAGCCGATCTCCAGGATATCCTGCGTTACGGGCGACCTGTTCGGGCCATACAACGTTGGCGCAGGAACATGGCGGAAGGAGGTGAAGTACCCTCCCGTGAACGTGTTCCCCATTCTGCCTGCTGACGGCGAAAGAATCCAAGTAATCGGAGACCGTTCCTATCTTCTCGAAGTCTTTGGTTCCTTCAAAGCGTGGCTGCTGGCGTGTACCCGTACAATGATGGGAATTCGAACCTCAAGTAAGTTTACTGGAAGCGAGCTCACTCTCCTCAGCTCTAGTTTACTCCGCTTGCCTAACTGCAAGCTCCGAGCGTTTGCAAACGCAACACAGGGACACTATGTGCCAGAACTAAGTGAAAGAGATTGGAAGAGACAAAATCTCCTAGCCTCAAAGCCAAAGTCAGATAAGAATTTGCTAAATGGCACTCCACGTCTCCGACTTGGGACATCGGACTAGGCCCGGAGTTTCGAGTACTCGGAGTAGGGACTCGACTACAGAACTGTCTGCCACAGTCTGGGCCCGGGCAGCTACCTGCATGCGTTGGAATTCGGAATCCGTGTGCCAAACAATTCAAACAGCGGCGCAGTCACTGAGTCAGTCAGTACTACACTCTACAGACAGTGCAGTAGCCAGTAGGCACGAGAGGTACTAGGTCAGTAGGTGGGCGGTACGTTGAATTGGGCACGCACTCGGACTTGTCTACCGCGAGTCGGAGCCGGCTAGCCGCAGATCTCCATGATGCACGATGACATGTCGACAAGTGCATCTGTGAGTGCGAGTGTCCCCATATGGCCATGCAGGAGGCGCTGACCTCAAGCATGCAGTGCTTACAGTTACACCAAGAGTCCGGTGGGTTATGGACTCTTGGTTACACTGACTGTACTTGCTTACAGTCATGATAGCACTAACAGTCGTCTTCATGCCTTACTTGGCTCTCTACCAGTGCAGTACCAGTACTACATGACATACTTGTACTGTACATTATTCCATGGTCGTTGTATACCACTGCACTGTTAGACTGCAGGGGAAGTATTTTAGTTGTGGTCACACGAACAGTATTATACGTCCTACTCTGTCAAGTCATCTGTCTACTAGTACTACAGCCTGCACTGGCAGCTATACCTGTACACGCACACGTACATCACTAGCACAAGCACTAGCACTAGGGAAGTTAGTTTTTATAGAAAGTAAGTCAGTTTAGTAGTTGAGACTTTCCGTTTCCAGCGCGACAAACACCTCGACCCCCTACATGTATACATATAGCATGGAGAGTGAGTGTCGCTCATGGCCCGGAGTCATGGGCAGGGCAGAAAGTATATTTAGGCCACAGTCAGTCAAGTATCAAGGTGGTATCAAGTATCAAGGTCAGGTCGGGCCTGGTCGGCGGAAAGAGTGAGAGCTTCATTGTGGGGAGAAACCAACTAACTTTCCTATAATCGTAAATCGCCGAATACATCGGCACCACTATTCCGTACTGCTGTGTCCAACGCGCGGTTGCGACTAGCCGGTTCGGAGGTGAGAGCGTTGCGAATGGTAGAGGGTCCTCAACGTCTGTTCGCACTCTCAACCTCTCACTTTCCAATCCAGGAGCAACACTGACTCACGGTCACGGTCACAGTGCGATGATGCAGTGTGGTTGCAACGTTGGTGGTGTAGGTCATGCCGTGTGGTTTATTATTATTATTATTTCACTAAGTACACAACCTACTCGTCAGAAGGGGAGAAGACAACACCTGACCTGACCTTTGACGCCCATCGCCGGAGGCGATGATAGCAATGCTACGGCAGAAGCCATAGCAACTTGTGCTGGGATTACACCATTCAACAGCTTGCAAGGCTGAAGAATTGACCGTCACTATTCAGCCTGGTCTACACCATACAGCTATTTAGAGAAGACAACAGAGCATACAATAACAAAACAGCAGGGAGAGTAGGGGCTGCAAAGCAAGCCTGTGCTGGTGAGGCAAGCCCACAACACCGACCTATGGTCTCGGCGTTAACGTGAGCTTGCGCATCATAGCCTAAAAGAAGGGGGTGATTTAGAGCGATAAAGACAACGGAAGGTGAGGTAGAAAGGTTGAGGAGCGAGAGAAAAGGAAAGAGAGAAAGAGAGAGTGAGAGTGTGTGTGTGTGTGTGAGAGAGAGAGAGAGAGAGAGAGAGAGAGAGAGAGAGAGAGAGAGAGAGAGAGGGGGGGGGGTGGAGAGAGAACACGAAGAGAGAAAAATAGATTCAAAGGCAGTTCAGCTGCAGTGAACATGATGCAATGCTTGGGGGGGGGGGGGAGCTTCAAGATGGAAATTGTTCTGAACAGTTAGAGGGAGTCTGTGACCCAAAGCCACTGGCTTCGGCGAAGATGGTAGTGGACGTTCGCTTTGAAGGATTGTAGGCCCTTAGGAGATGGTGGTTTGGTGAAGAGGGAGGATGGCAGCGCGTTCCAGGTGTTGATGATGATGTATGGAAAGGCGCGTCTTAGGTAGTTAGGAGCGCCTGGAGGGAGAACATTTTCCAGTTGGTAGGGGTGTGAAGCAGATTGTTGGCATTGTCTCCGGGTTACAGGTGCGGCACGGTTGCAACGTTGGTGGTGACGTGTAGGTCATGTTGCTCACTTCAGGCTATAGCTAGCTGGGCTTCTACCTGTCCTTCACCATGTTCACTCCAATCACAATACGGTCGTTGTGTGCTAGACATTCACTACGCCTTCACGAGGTGTTTGTCGCTCTGGAAACGGAGCGTCTCTGTGAGTTTGTATCCCTGGTGATGTTTGTGCCGAAGAAGTCGCTATCACTAACTTACTATTTCGTGCTGGTGTGCCCAGCGCGGGCTTGCGATTAGCTGGTTCGCAGGTGGGAGTGCTGCAGAAAACCGAGCGTCCTAAGTCCTAACTGCCTGTTCTACGACACTACGACACTACGGGACCTACCCTTTTAATAAGTGCCACTGAGTGACAGTGTTGTTGTTGTGTTTATTTTAATTCGCAAACCAAACGGGCAGATCTGCCCAATGAAAAGGTGGTGAATGCAGATAGAAAGCAGTGCTATCTGTACCGGTGTTCAGGAGGTGTTTGTTACGCGGGAAACGGAGTAGAGCGTCTCTCTCGTCTTTAGAGAGAAAAGGGAAAGGAATAAAAGAGGCCCAGACGCTAAGGGAGATAGGATTGTGAGGACGTGCGAGGTACCCGGTGCTGTCATCACCAGACGCTAAGGGAGATAGGATTGTGAGGAAATGCAAGGTACCCGGTGCTGTCATCACCAGACGCTGGCAGAGTATCAGGCTAGAGTAGTAACGGCTACATGTACTATGTCGCAGCATTTGCACTTTTTTGTATTATTTAAAGGATTTCCCAAACTTTGAAAGGCATAGCCTATTTATTTATTTATTTCACCTTCCCGTTTTCAGAGAATATAGGCCAATATGGATCGGGGGGATCTCCTCACAGTGAAAATGATCCTTGATTTATACTAGTGAATATATGCTGTTTATAATGAGCGCGAAATTGTGTCTGAAACTCTGAAACAGAATCTATAGAATTGTATAGTAGCTGTTGCTACCAGACATCTCGATGTCGCGACTCCCTGATCAACACCACGCAGTCTACCTGCAGAGCACTAGTAGATATGCAATAATATTAGTGTAGTGCATATGTTGTGGAGGTGGAGTCGCCATTGCAGCCACTAAGCGGCGAAGCCTTTCACCATCGATCAGCCAACACTGATCCCGACGCCCGTGTCGACTGGCTGCGGGTGAAGAGATTCTGGACCTATACTGCTATAGCCACAACGCATTCTTTGACACAAGGGTCTTTATCCACTGGTCCTGGCCAGTCAAGCTATCGTGTCCAAACCCCCCCCCCCCCCCGTCACTCTACCGAAGGTTTGAAAGCGAGAAGAAGCGAGCGTATGGTGGACGCATCATCGAAGTCGAGCATGGCTCATTCACACCCTTACATGGTGTTCTTCTCTTAGTATGGTGACATGGGCCAAGAAGCGGTTGTGGTCATCGAGATTGCTCAGTGCTGCCACGTTGTGCTCATCGAGAGGCTGGTGCCCTGCTTGGGCACCAAGAGAAATACTATCATCCAGTAATTTAGTAACCAAGTGGCTGTGTATCTTGGCAGCAGTGCTGCCTGGCATCTTCACTAGCGTAGTCTGCCATCCGTTAACAGTGTCCAGAGATCACGTTACGTTCGACCTCGTGCCTCTGGACCTTATCCAGGGGGAAGTTTGCTGTGAGCGGAACACCGTTCTCATCAGTACTGACAGTCTGTGTACCAGCAGGGAGTCGTACCCAATTAAACCACATTATTAAATGTTGGTTTGGGTACGACTCGACTCCCTGGCCCTGCAAGCTGCTATTAAAATATGAATAAATAATAATAATCGCTAGAGCGACGAGCTATCTTAATGTCTGTGGTGCCTCCTTTGCACCATGGCTGGTAGCTCGGCCTATTTAGCTCGTAGCTGTACTGATGAAGCCTTTATGGCCGAAACAGCTTGCTGTCTACAGCATTGGGTAATAATGGTATGGTATGGTATTGATTTATTTGAATTCGGTATCTCAACAGTACATTGTACAACTTGGGAAGATCCGAATGACATAGATACATAAACATAAAAGTGGAGTAGGTGCTACAGCTGATCATTTTATCGCAGGTTGTGGGACTAAACTAATACCAGTATGCAAGTACACAAGAAATAAAAGCTGAATAAATACGACTGCATGACATTGGAGAAAAGCACCAATTAGAGCAAAACAAAGCGACACATCACTCATTGAAAACATTTTCAAAAAGGAGCTGCTTTAACCGGGTACATTGTGGGCCGTCATTAAGAAGGCAGGCAAGATGGGCGTTAAATGCAGAAGACGTATTGCAAGACTTCATTTCAAAGGGCAGAGCATTCCAAAGTAAAGCAATCCTACTAGACAATGAGCGATACCCGCATGCAGTCTTATATCGGCATAACGAATAATAATAATAATAAGCTGCTATGCTGTGCACGTATGACAACTGAAATCCGACTCCTGATTTTGGTGCTTGAAATGGAGCACCGATTCTAGCGCCTAGCGGTCTCGTAGCGTACAGAAGTGCAGAGCTACTTCAGAGACAAATAAAAAAGAGAAGTGGACTACTCACGTGATCACGCGGTGCAAACAGTTGACTTGGGTGTGCTATATTTGGCCATCGCTCGACCTTCGCGGTGCTGATACAGTGGGTGAGTTCGTGTATCCTCTTTCGGCAGTATTTTGAAAGCTATATTCGACTGACAATATAATAGTGATGTTGACGAATTGACTACTTACTGAAGAATGTCATGAAGTGATGCTGGCAGTTGTTGGATGGGATGGGACTTGACACCGGCTCTGACTTCACTGCTTTTCGGAAGGCTCAGGGCCCGGCATTGTACGGAGAACTGAGAACATCGGTGACCGAGGATGTCCTGGCCATTGGCCTCATTACGGCCTTCACATCATTGTTCGTCTCCTTCCTTGTCTCACTACCCAGCGCATCGGAACGGAAGAAGGTAATCCCACGTAGCTATGTAGCGTGACACTATTGTATTAGCCCCGAAACCGTACCCAAGGTCCCCAGCTGCCAGTGCAGTCACAGTGGTACACCATCCACCATGTAAACACCGTACGCAGTTCATATAACTGCCAGCACTCTCAGACGGCAAGTTTGCCCTTTATTACTTCAGAAAGACCATGGGTAGATCATCCAGGGCTACATAACCCTTTTGAATTTGCCAGTTGCTCTCCCTTCATGTAGAAGACTCCAAGAGGTAGAGCTATAGAGTGTCTCACTTTCTGATATAATAATAACAATTATAAGATCGCACATAATTGCACAGTATCAGATATACAGAGTACCAGTTCAGTATTACATGCAGAAGAGATGAGTTAAGGCCCATTCACAATACTTATAATCTTCTGCGACGCGACTTATGGGATAGGATGCTTGCGACAAGGAAGTGTCTGGCGTGGACTGTCGGAAGCAGTTGCAAAGCAACTGACGCAGAAGTCGACCAGAGTTCATAAGCCATAATGTATCCTACTCATGATTTGGTGGTTACATGACTCGAGTCTGTACCTGACAAGTTTTGTGCATATAACTTTTGGAATTCTGCAGCTAGCTGAGACTAGCCGTCTAGCCCGGACTAGTTGCCATTAAGTATCACTAGCAGAGCAGTTAAAAGGAAAGAAATAGTACCAAGGAACTACGAGTTACGCTATACTGTCCACTAACACCACCAGTTACTGGACAATCAGCGCATGCGACAACATTGTACAACACTAACCAACGGTACCGACCTTCCCCTCCCTATGTTAGTACTATAACTTGGAAGGCAGTTGGAGTGCGCATCCAAGACGTGCTAGAGCTGTTAGCCAGTTAGTTGTAGAACGTCAGTACCGTCGGTCAGTGTCGTGCAATGTTATCGCATGCGCCGATTGTCCAGTAACTGGTGGTGTTAGTGGACAGTATAGTGTAACTTGTAGTTTCTTGGTCCTTTTTTCTTTCCTTTAAATTCTTCCTTGGCTCTCCATCCGAGTTATCAGAGCAGTGCACACACTTGTGTCTTGATTGAAAAATAACTTTCTCAAACACAGACTGCCTATTACACTCTGAATATACATTGAATGGCCAAGATGTTGGTCAAAAAGGGGTGGACATTATTAGTGGTGTGCACGGGTAGTCGGGTACCCGTGCTACCCGTGAGGACCTCGGGTAGACGGGTACCGAATAGTACCCGAAAACCCGAAGTCGCAGATGACATCATGTACAGTGCACGTGTACAAATAATTCACGCATATCTACCCAGTGCGCAAGGCCAAGGTGCCGGTGTGCATTGTGCTCTTACCATGGAAACATTACCCGGTCAGGTACCCGTGCTACCCGTGGAAAACTACCCGGACCCGATACCCGAAGAAAATGCTACCCGACTCAGCCCTAGACATTATACTCAAGTGTGCGTCTTACTCCGGCAAATACGGCGATTCTCCATGGTTGGTTCACCCTGGAGGGGGGAGGGGAGGGGGGGGGGGGCTGTACAGACAGGAGCAATTTTCACTGTGTCTCCTGGTTCGTTGCAGAAGACAGGGCAGCATGTATGCTGTGGCTGAATGAGTGAGTTAGCACCGCCAATTTTCCCTGCCCCCATTCTTGCCAACAAGTACAATTGCAGTATGTGTATCGCAGGCTACCACCAGGAGAAGCAAAGAACAAACTGCAGATCATGTGACCCCCAGGAGAGGCGGAGAGCAAACGCCACAGTTTGTGGCATGTATCACTTTGCCTCTTTTCAAGATGATTAAATTGTGTGTACATACATTCACCCATGCATACATTCTGTTTTTGATGTTGTTGATGCAGCCATCCATTCACCCATGCATACATTCTGTTTTGGATGTTGTTGATGCAGCCATCCATTCACCCACGCATACATTCTGTTTTGGATGTTGTTGATGCAGCCATCCATTCACCCATGCATACATTCTGTTTTTGATGTTGTTGATGCAGCCATCCATTCACCATGCATACATTCTGTTTTTGATGTTGTTGATGCAGCCATCCATTCACCCACGCATACATTCTGTTTTGGATGTTGTTGATGCAGCCATCCATTCACCCATGCATACATTCTGTTTTTGATGTTGTTGATGCAGCCATCCATTCACCATGCATACATTCTGCTTTTGATGTTGTTGATGCAGCCATCCATTCACCCATGCATACATTCTGTTTTTGATGTTGTTGATGCAGCGACTACTAACGTTTGGAAAGGTGTTCATTGCCCTCTACATTTCATTGTGCATTCTTTGTAAGTAATTGAAATGCTCTGCTGATCAAACCAGTCCTTTCAGCTCTTGACACCATGCAAGGATTAACTTTTTAAGGTTACTCGGGGTTGGTGTTCGGCGTAGTTGAAGAAGTCCTCGAGGTGTGTTAACCTGTCAAATGGTCAGTGCTTAATAAGTGGCAATCTGAATTTTAGTGTTCAAGCTTTCCAAGTGACGTCAAACTGGTCATACTAGAGAGGTTCTGCTATTATGTTATGTGAAACGTAGAGAAATCACGTAGAGAGCAGGTGTCTGGGTTAGAGTCTACGGCTTCGCGTGTTTTGGGTCCAGATTTCTACGCATAGATGAGGTTCTCTATGTGGTGAGACCGGCACGCAGAGAAAATGCGTACAGATCTGCTGGGCATCGATCAAATGCAGGCAGAAAACTGCCAAATATGGAAGGGGAAATTCCCAGTACACAATTCGCGTGATTTCTCTACGTGAAGAGAGTTCCCGGGATTCTTCCCGTAACGTAGAGCAGAACCTCACTTATATCATGTTATGAGCTGACTACACCCGTGATGGGAAAACCAGCTATTGGCCATCGCCTGGGCAACGGTCACGTGTCATGTGACAATATTAGTGTATCCTCTGCTTTTGTTAGATACCGTAAAATTCCGTTAATAAGCCCCGGGCGTATACTTTGCAGAGCGTCAAAAACCGGGCGTATATATGGGCATGGGCTTATTTTAGGGCATGGGCGTTATTTCGGACGCAATCTGCAGAAGATCAATCTACATGTATCAGCAACCCACTAGTTTCAGTGAACCACCATTCATACTGAGCACGGTACAGGTACTTGAAGCACATCAAACCACAGCTGTACACCAACGGAACATCGCTGTCCTCACGCGCCATAACAGTGTTGAGTTCTGCACTGTGCTGCGTGCAGTTGGATGGCACGCACTCGATCTACAACTGTTCTACAGTTTGTACGCGAACGCACGCTCGCGCACTGGTCATTTTGAGTCCACTTTACGCCCTGGGCTTATTTCGGGCATGGGCGCTAAAACAGACTTCAAGTGTACACCGCCTAAACCTGGGCTTATTATCGGACATGGGCGTTATTTAGGGTGGGCTTAATTACGGAATTTTACGGTATGTGTCTGCTGTTTCTCGTTTCATCCAGTGTCCATATTTGGCTATGGTTGGAGAGTTGGATCAATATACACTGAAACTCAGTATAGACAATTCACTAATGGCACAATTCATGCTCAAGTCGGTATCAAGTTTGGACTGTATGGTGTCAATATCACTCTCAAAGGTCAGATAAGTAAAAATTAAAACATATTATGTTCTCATGCAATCCCTCTGCTCCTCTGCTCCCCTAACTAATTCTGCTTGGCTGTTGTGGTGGCGCTATCTTCTTTTGTATGGTCTTGGCCACGTGCAACCTATAGAATGTGGTATGGTCTTGGCCATGAGCAACCTATAGAATGTGCGCATGATTTTTATCATCTCTCCCAGGCACACCGGTGGAGCAGTTGTCAGAAACAATTGACTACAATGAGCACGTGAGCTTTGGTGACCGAGAAGGTCGGCTGGAGTTCTCCAATCAAGGTATGTTTGACCTGCATTTTCAGTGAAATCTATTGCCACTTGCATCTAAAAAATCAGTGAGGGTAGTGATGTTCTTATGTAATGCAGAGAGACAACAGCCTTCACGGTTTTCTTGCATATCGCACACCCACATACATGCCCTGCTCTACAACGCTTGTCTGTAGCACTCAAGTACATTTGTCTGTAATGGGGGGGGGGGGGAGCATACATGTGTGTTGGGTTTCACATGTGTTTGCGCCTGCTCCCGCCGATTTCGCTTGCCGCATCACCTGGATCGTCACAGGGCTGTGTGCTCCTCCTCTCTCTCAGCTGCCCCTCCGGGGCCCACGTAACCTTCATGACAGTGGCTCAACAGGACAGGACAGGTGTTTGTATGTGTGTGTGTGTATGTATGTGAGTGTGTGTGTGTGTGTGTGTGCGCGCGCGCGCGTGTGTGGACCGAGAGATGGGCGCCCTGAAATGTGTATGAGTGTGTGTGTGTGTGCGTGTGCGCGCGCGTGTGTGTGGACCGAGAGATGGGCGCCCTGAAATGTGTGTGAGTGTGTGAGTGTGTGTGTGTGTTTACCTGTCTGCTAGCTTTTGTACATGTACATGATGGTACATGTACATGATGGTACATGATTGTATGTTGACATTGACACGCCCCCGTGTGTGTACAGGTGGCAGCGTGCGATCTTTCTTCCGTGAGTCTCAAGAGCGTGGTGCTCCACTTCCAATCTTGTGGATAATGGAGTACCTAACATTAGACGGTGAAGCAATCCGCTGGAATAGACAGTACAGAGAGGCCGGTTACTTCGCATCCCTTCTCCTATGGTCAGTTGGGATTCCACGGCCAAGCTGTGTGCCTACATACATGTGACATGCAATTGACAAGTAGCGTACAGTAAAACCTGCCAAGGCGACCACTCGGATAAGGCGACCACCTGTCCCAGAAAACAACCGCAACTAGGACAAATGGATGCTTTGTCCAGTCAAATGACCCTGAAAAAGCAGACCCCCTACTAATAGAGGACATGTTGTGATGGCCCCTTGAGCGGTTGCCTCAGACAGGTCTCACTGTGCTAGTACTCCACTGCCTGAACACTGTGCACAGTACACAACGCAGTCAGCAGAGAGAGAAAAACGTGCGTAAAGTGCAGTTCATAGTTGCGACATGACTTCAAGTCTTTCTTTCGCTCTAGCTCTACTGACTGCATAGTAATTATTATGTGTGGCAATGTGTGCCATTGTCAGTCTAGGGCTAACAGGTAGCTGACCTGGCCCACCACCAGTACAGATCACACTGCAGTGCAGTTCCAAGCCCTGTGCCTACCGTTATGCTGGGTAGCGTGCCGTGTGTATACCAACTACTTTGAAGTACTCGAGATGAAAAATAAAAGCAATACAAAAAATACAATACTCATTGGCTTGAGGGAAAGATGCAAACGGGAAAAGTCTGAAGAAAAATTGACTGTCACCACATGGACTCGAACCAGACTTTGAAGTACAGAGAATATTCGGATACAACCACTTTGTACTGTATGTAAAGCGACGCGTTAAGTTTTACGACTAATTTCTGTTGTCTAAGTCTCATAATAAATTCTTTCCGAAGATTGCGTAGGTGGAAAATAGTGACCGTTCTGTTTCCCCAAAGGAGTTTCGTTGCATCAAATCTCCACTGTACTGCATTCAACAGTGGGGCATATGGTAGGGGGGGGGGGGGCATCATCAGATTCATGTCCTCCCTGGTTACCACACCAGTAGGTCTTAGTACGACATTCCTAACTAGTTTGACCCATTCTTTGCAAGCATGCAAGTATTGACCAGTGCTACTCTATGGTACAACCGAAGACTGGATTGTTCTCAACAGAATCTGATAGGTCATTGAAAACCAGTTTTGGTGATCTTTCTAACATTAATGTATGCTGTCGTCCCCTCTCTGTCAATTACCATTGTCACAAGTTATTTTGTGGGTCTGATGTTTCTCTTTGTGTATATGCGCTCTTGTGTGTGCGTGTGTGTGTGTGTGTGTGTGTGTGTGTGTGTGTGTGTGTGTGTGTGAGCGCGCATGTGTGTGTATGCATACGTCTGAGCCTGTGTTTGTCTGTGGGTGCACGTGCATGCTTGTGTGTCTTGCTCTAACTCTACTGTCCACACATACAGGACTGCACTGTGCCTATGGTTTGTGACAGTTGCCTCCACCAGGTACGTCCTAATCCACACAGCTTTCTTCGCTTCCCTAACTGGCGCACTGCACATGGCTGCATGCTTCATCTATGAGATGGTCTACAACCACATTGGGCCGACATTTGCAATTCCGTTCGAAGATGACATTCTCCAGGTTCGCTATGGCTGGGGCTTTTTCTTGACGTTAATCAATGGTGTAGTGTTACTTGTTGGTGGTGCAGTGATGGCTATTCTTTCCACTTTCTGGGATAATCGACTAAACGACCCGCAGCTGGGTTCGAGTCCTACACCTTACCACGTGGTTACTAGGGTTACCAGAGGGAGCTCTGTGTCCTTTGTTAGCATTTCTCCATCACCATGGCAGGAAATGGACGGTACCGTGGAGGTGGAGGACGAGGAGGAGTCGTCGAGTTGCACCACCGCAAGCAACTCGCCACCGTTAACAGCCGACTGTACGCAACCACAACAACCTGTGAAGCCATCGGCAAGAAAAGAGCAGCAGCGCGCATGGCATTCACTGAAGCGTGGAAAGGCGAGCGGCCTTAATGGGTCGTGTAGGAGGCGCTACTCTTTGAAAGGCACTGAATGTGATCGCCGTGAACATGCCACAAGCCACAGTTCACGTCAAACTAGTGTTGCTAAGAGGCGCCCGTCTAGTGGTAGCATTACTAACATGCCTGTGCAAAGCTCAGCAGATGATGGGAAACACAGACATATGATGAAGTTCAAGAGGTCCAGGCGAGGCGGCTACGCTTTGGGAAATACTGAAGATGGTCATGCAAGTGTCCCAGGTCAAGAGCTGAGCCTACGTAGTGTTAAAAGGCGTAATTCACGTGTTAATACCTTTGCCAACACGGCTGTCTCTGTATAATTACTCAGTACTTGATTTCAGCTTCCAAATTTCAATAATTTTTTTCTGCCGTCAGAGATTTGGCGGCAACCTATTTTTGTGCTACCGGTTTTGTGAACAAGTCAACCTCATGAAACCCATCATTACAGCAAAACAAAGTTTCTCACAACTCGTCACAAGTGTCCTATGGGCATATACTTTGAAGTACCTAACCCATGATGTATTATTCATCGTGTTACCAAGCAGCCCGGTCTACCCTGCTGATGGTCTATCCTCTTGATTATGTGCGTTTGTCACCGCTCGCAGATGTTATCATTTATTGCGCTTTTCAATAGTTATCTCAGCCTATCCACGAGGAAAATTCAGCTGCAAGGTCCCTTACTTCTTGCCAATCTAAATATGCTGACACCTCCCAAGCCAACACCGCGGGCACTTTCTGATGCTGGTCCTCTCCCTGTGCCGACCCGCGTTAAATTATATTTTCTGTACACTTTAAAACAGCCTCAGCATACAGTGAATTGCCGCTGGTACCATGATCACATGTCTTCTGCGTTATCACCCAGCCTATCAGTCGCTTGTCATGTATTCCAAACCAAGGTCAAACTATGAGTGGAAATACGTGTTTGTAGACTGAGTTCAAAACGTCTACTAAGAGTATGAAATAGGTATTGCAGTATTTTGTTATCTATGATTTGCTTTTCGCTATCTTCTCTTCTCATAAAATTTGCTGACTATCACATGGAGCACACACTGGCTTCTATCAAAACGCTGTATACCTAGTACTTAACACTTACCCGTCATTGATGTTTGGGTACACACATGTATATTACATGTATATCCGCCAAAGAAACACTTCCTTCTAGTCAGTGCTGGCTTGACCGGTACTAGTAGCAAGAGTAGACAAGCTCCCAGGAGATTATGTACTCTTGCTACTACTAGCCACCCTGCTATCTCAGGCATGGCGGTGGCCTGGCACAAGTGAAACTTCCGAAGCTGGTTGTGCTGGTTGTGCCGGTTTCTCAACACAATTGTATAGCCGCCGGTTGTAATGCGGACTTTACTTACTTTGCTCGTATTAGTGTGCGGATAGAGAGAAGACTTGGCAGGGATGCTGTCGTCGGAATGCTGAGCCTACCAGCTTGTATATAGAAACTTGGGCAGCTTGCTGACGGCTTCTCAGTGATTATCAGCGGACTCGCGGCTCCGAGTGACTCTGGCTGAACAGACTGCAATCAAGTCCAATGAACACTGAAGCATTTTAAAAACCAGCTGATAGTATCAAGGCCTCATGTAAGTTTAGCTAAGCCATGCTTTCCGCCTATACGTATATGGGGATTGGCCGGTCTAAACCTGGTCTGTAGCACAAGTCCTTGGTTCGAGTGGTAACCGTCAGCTTTGTTTTCAGACCAGCACTTTAATACTACAGTAGTTTTACCTTTTCAACTCTCATGATTGATGAAAACTGGGCTTAATTAAAGGTGGTCAAATGGGTGGAAAATAAGCAAGTAGTTTTAACTCAGTGTTATCATCTACCACCTTGCTGAAGCCCACAAAATAGCCTTACTACTGTGTTATACTTACATGACTGATGTAGTGCCAGTGTGCCACTGCCAGCTGCAGCATGAGTCCTCTGATAAGAATTCAGAACTGTTGTGAAAACCGATTACAAGTCAGATCTTGACTCCTACAACAGGATCCAGAGATTTCCTTGCCAAATGCAACTGCACTGCCATGCAGTCTACACTGACTACACTCTGTTCAGCCTTCTTCAGGCTGCAGTAGTACTCGTACTACAGACTGTCAGTACACTCAGAGTAGTCACTCTACACAAACCAGGCAGGCTAGCCTACAATCAAGAGTGCATAAACTTTTTTATGGACTCTTGCTACAATCTACATACAGTGCCAGCTCATGACGTCAACGTGAATCTCACGAGATTGTTGCATTACATCATGTACGGTTTGAAAACGTAAAACGCTTGTGAAAACAGTCTGTCAGCAAAAACTTTGCTTGTATTGCACTCCTGCCTGAGTGACGTGGTCCTATCAATCCGACCTGAGCCAGGCTGAGGCTGAGTGCAAGTGGATGATGCTTGGTCGGGTCAGTCAGTGTATGGTGTGTGGATCCAACACACACAGTCACACTGGCACAACGCCACAAGCAGGGCGTCTTTTGGGCGTGCAACTCCAAACAGGGACTGATTCGCTCTGTCACCTCTACATGCCACAATAATACATACTGGCATTACTGCTGAGTACCACGCTGTCCGGAACGAGCATTACGTTTCGTGTTTTCTATGCGTCCTCAACTTCTCACTCAAGATTTTCGTTGAGTTGAAATTCAAAGTCGCTGTTGACGGTACAACACCACTTTATTGAGCGTGTAGTTGTCATTTCTCAAATTGAAAACTTGCGGGACGTTGGTCGGTTTCTTTTCAAGCATGTCTCGAGGCGGAAGACCGTCAGCTAGTGATGGGGGTGGTTTGGTGCAAGTGTTACCTCTCCAATACATCCACATATTGGATAGGGTGAGTTGAACTGGTACACCTAATTCATATAATTATGGTGGGGGGTTCAGTGAAATGTAGAATCATACAAACCCTCATTTGGGAGATAATGGAGCCCAGCTGCTAATGTCACGTGAAAATAACGACTTTGTGCTATTAATTTTTATTCTACATGTGCTTTAATTTTGCTGCAGACAACAAACGTATCGTATGTTGAAGAAGGTCCACAGACTATAATTCTTCAAGCTCACCAGGAGCTCGTTGTGCCACCTGCACCATTTGTGGTTGTGCCACCTGGTCATTACTGCCGAATCATCGACCCAGTGGATCGCAGGTAACAATCTCTAATGCTGGCCTACTTCTGAAGTACTTATTTAGCTCGCACGTGCACACTGTGTGGAGCTCATGTCTGACATAAAGTCACACTTCCAGGGGCGGAGCAGCCGGTCCAGCTTTGGCCGGACCACTTTTTCGCCCGACCACGAAAAAGTGCCCAGAAAGCAGGATTTTGAACCTTAATTTCGAAATTTTCCCAGGGGGGGGGGGGGGGTGCCCCCTCCTGCCGGACCACCATCAACGGCAGTGCTACACGCCTGACTTCTGATGTAGTAAAGGATAGATGGGGGGGGGGGGAGGGGGACCGGGCACGTAACTTGGAGGGGTTGAATGGACCAAGGTCTGGCCAGGCAAGGTTTCCAACTTATTATGCCTAGGTCGTTAGTCAATCAGCATGCGTATGGCATGTAGCAGCCCGTTCTGTCCAAGCTCATCTTGTCTTTAGTATGACTAATCACAAGGACTGTGCACTTGATGTATCACATCGCTATCCTACCCGGGCCTCTAAATGATACATGACAACGTCTTGACATCAGCTTATGGAAGGGATTCCAGGGATTTGAAAACGCTGCCGGTTACATACCTGAAAAATGTGTGAAAATTCACATTCTGACATCTCTAAGCTACAGCATTTCTTCATTCAACACAGGAGCAGAGAAAGCTGGTCTTGGACTGCTCAAATGACGTTGACTATCCAGGGGGCGTAGCTGGTCCCCCTTTTAGGGGGGTGCACGGCCGCATATGTGTAGGATGGCTGGTGCATGTCATTCATGGTCATTATGTGCATGCTGAACCTAGGTCGATATTTTTAGGGGGTACACGTCCCCTCCCCCCCCCCGTGCCCCATGCGGACTACGCGCCGGTCTATATGACCATTTTGGACTGATGCATTGCATAGTGTAACTCTGATTGCGAGGAGTGAGTACTCATCAAGAACAGAAGAGAAACAGCAAAAATGCAACCTGTGCAATCAGGGGCGTCGGACACGGTACGGTCACTACGGTATTGACCGTACCACTATTTGCCCCATGTACCCTGTGAATCAATAAAATGTACTGATTTGGGCCGATTTGCCCCTGGCAATGTATGTAATTTGCACACGTCTTGTGTTTTCATCAGGTTGGCTGTCATCTTTTCTCTGGTGTTGGTGGCGTGGAAATCTCTAGCATTGTTGCCATTGCTCAATGGCCATTCATATGATTCTGCTCTTTGTATTGTCACATTTGTATGATATGTGCTGATTGTGCTGACTGTGCTGCCTGTGCCCACCTACAGTAAATATGAGAAGGGAAAGCCATGCACCGTCAAGTTTGGCGAAGTCGAAATCCGCTTCCACTCTGTAAGCACTTTGAACCGGGAAATCAGTGTGACCCTGTGTTCCGATATCTGTTCTCCGCCTTTGCAACTGTCGATATTGATAAGTTGGCATTGGTTCCCTCGCGATGGTTATAAACAAAGAAAAGAATGCCAGATGCGAAGTGCCAGGTGGCAAGTGCCAGGTGTGGGCTGATAGTCCTGGTGAGAAAACGTCTGTGCTGACTAGCCTAATGACTAATGTACATGCATCCGAACATTGTTTGCAGCCTGGAGAGCATGAGATCAGGTATGCTTTGTCAACCATATGATATACCGTTGAATCCCGCGGATAACCCCACCAGCGTATAAGCCCATGCCCGCGCATAAGCCCAGGGTTTGTTCGAACATCACAAAGCTTCATCGTACAAGCCCATGGGCCTAGGTCATACCGAGAGTCCATAAATTATGGACTCTTGGCCATACCATGTACGTAGTACATGCTCATTATAGGTTTTTTCGTGCATTTCAGCACAATCATCGGTTGTTTTTGTTTGCACAGTGGTTTTCAGCAATGTACTTCTCACTTCCTTGATACTTTTCAATAGCACAACTTGGTGTCGGCGTATAAGCCCATGCCCGCGTATAAGCCCATGTTCTCGTATAAGCCCACCGAAATGTCCTTGTGAAACAGATAGGCCCATGGGCTTATCCGCGGGATTCTACGGTATCTGATTATGGTCACTGTTGTTGTTGTTGTTGTTGTTGTTGTTGTTGTTGTTGTTGTTGTTGTTGTTGTTGTTGTTGTTGTTGTTGTTGTTGTTGTTGTTGTTGTTGTTGTTGTTGTTGTTGTTGTTGTTGTTGTTGTTGTTGTTGCTGTTGCTGCTGCTGCTGCTGCTGCTGCTGCTGTTGATGCTGCTGCTGCTGCTGCTGTTGATGCTGCTGCTGCCGTTGCCGTTGTCATTGTTGCTGTGCACAGGAGCCTTTCTCCCTGTACCCGGGTGAACAACTTGGCAATGCTACTCCCCATGGTGAGTACCACCGCATGGCATCACAACTCCTGCTGTCTTGACTTTGTAAAAGTAGTTGCTGCGTACACTTGTCTCTTGCATATCTTACTCTCAGGGTCTCTTCAAGGTTGAATGATGGTGATATTGTGTATCTGCCACTGTGAATTTTGTGTGTCTTTCTATCACTCCTACTCCTGCTCATAGTAGGAACAGGTGGTGGCAATTTGGTTGCTGGACTTGATCACTATTCCATTACCACTCTATTGTAGGATGGCATTGGTATTGTTGTAGGCTACTTCTAAACTCTAGAGTATGGTGCTTGTGTTAGCTGTGGCTGTGTGCTGTTGTGTATTGGCTATGACAACTAACATGTACTATTGTACTATTGTACGGTACTTGGTACTTATATTGACTATGACTATGTACTGATGTAGACTACAAGAGTGCTATTAAGGCATTGCCAATAGTCAAGGCTAACCAAGCTATCGTCCTGGAGGCGTCGATTGATCACACGGATGACACTGGCGCCAAGCGTGTGACGGGAGAGAAGTGGCAGTTGCCTGGACCGAGAACGCACAAGCCAACTGCACACACGGTATGCCCTCTGTGTTGTCTGTATTGTCTGTGTGTGTGCCTGTGTGTCTGTCTGTGTGTCTGTGTGCCGATACGTCGTGGTATCTATGTTGTCCCTAGTAGCCAGCCCTTTGTGTCCAGGAACCTTATGTTATGGTCAGTGGTGGTGGTGGTGATGGTGTGTGTGTTTGTTTGTGTGTGTGTGTGTGTGTGTGTGTGTGTG